TTCCATCAATACCTAGTTTATTGAGGGTTTTTAGCATAAAGGGATCTTGAATTTTGTCAAAAGCCTTCTCTGCATCAATTGAGATAATCATGTGGTTTTTGTCTTTGGTTCTGTCTATGTGGTGATTTACGTTTATGGATTTGCGTATGTTGAACCAGCCTTGCATCCCCAGGATGAATCCTACTTGATCATGGTGGATAAGCTTTTTGATATGCTGTTGCAATCGGTTTGCCAGTATTTTATTGAAGATTTTTGCATCTATGTTCATCATGGATATTGGCCTGAAATTTTCTTTTCTTGTTGAGTCTCTGCCGGGTTTTGGTATCAGGATGATGTTTGTCTCATAAAATGATTTGGGAAGGATTTCCTCTTTTTAGATTGTCTGGAATAGTTTCAGAAGGAATGGTATCAGCTCCTCTTTGTATGTCTGCTAGAATTCAGCTGTGAACCCGTCTGGACCTGGGCTTTTTTTGGGTGGTACGCACTTAATTGCTGCCTCGACTTTAGACCTTGTTATTGGTCTATTCAGGGTTTCAGCTTCTTCCGGGTTTAGGCTTGGAAGGATGCAGGTGTCCAGGAATTTATCCATTTCTTCCAAGTTTACTAGTTTATGTGCATAGAGTTGTTTGTAATAATCTCTGATGATGGTTTGGATTTCTGTGGAATCTGTGGTGATATCCCCTTTATCATTTTTTATTGCATCAATTTGGTTATTCTCTCTTTTCTTTTTAATTAATCTGGCTAGTGGTCTATTTTGTTGATCTTTTCAAAAAACCAGCTCCTGGATTTATTGATTTTTTGAAGAGTTTTTTGTGTCTCTATTTCCTTCAGTTCTGCTCTGATCTTAGTTATTTCCTGTCTTCTGTGAGGTTTTGAGTTTTTTTGATCTTGCTCCTCTAGCTCTTTCAATTTTGATGATAGGATGTCAATTTTAGATCTCTCCTTTCTTCTCATGTGGGCACTCATTGCTATATATTTTCCTCTAGAGACTGCTTTAAATGTGTCCCAGAGATTCTAGTATGTTGTGTCTTCGTTCTCATTGGTTTCAAAGAACATCTTCATTTCTGCCTTCATTTCATCGTTTATCCAGTCAACATTCAAGAGCAAGTTGTTCAGTTTCCATGAAGCTGTGCAGTTCTGAGTTAGTTTCTGCATTCTGAGTTCTAACTCGATTGCACTGTGGTCTGGGAGACTGTTTGTTATGATTTCCGTTCTTTTGCATTTGCTGAGGAGGGACTTATTGCCAATTATGTGGTCAGTTTTAGAGTAGGTGTGATGTGGTGCTGAGAGGAATGTATATTCTGTGGATTTGGGGTGGAGAGTTCTGTAAATGTCTATTAGGTTTGCTTGTTCTAGGTCTGAGTTCAGGTCCTGGATATCCTTGTTGATTTTCTGTCCGGTTGATCTGTCTAATATTGACAATGGGGTGTTAAAGTCTCCCACTATTATTGTGTGGGAGTCTAAGTCTCTTTGTAAGTCATTAAGAACTTGCCTTATGTATCTGGGTGCTCCTGTATTGGGTGCATATAAATTTAGGATCGTTAGCTCTTCTTGTTGCAGTGATCCTTTTACCATTATGTAATGTCCTTCTTTGTCTCTTTTGATCTTTGTTGCTTTAAAGTCTATTTTATCAGAGATGAGAATTGCAACTCCTGCTTTTTTTTTTCTCTCTTCATTTGCTTGGTAGATCTTCCTCCATCCCTTTATTTTGAGCCTTTGTGTATCCTTGCATGTAAAATGGATTTCCTGGATACAGCACACTGATGGGTTTTGGCTTTTTATCCAATTTGCCAGTCTGTATCTTTTGATTGGGGCATTTAGTCCATTGACATTTAGGGATAGTATTGTTATGTGTAAATTTGATGCTGTCATTTTGATGCTACCTGGCTGTTTTGTTGGTTAGTTGATGCAACTTCTTGATTGTATTGATGCTCTTTTACCATTTGGTGTGTTTTTGGAGTGGCTGGTACTGGTTGTAGCTTTATATGTGTAGAGCCTCTTTCAGGAGTTCTTGTAGAGCAGGTTTGGTGGTGATGAAATCTCTGAGTGCTTGCTTGTTCACAAAGGATTTTATTTTTCCTTCACTTATGAAGCTTAGTTTGGCTGGATAGGAGATTCTGGGTTGAAATTTCTTTTCTTTAAGGATGTTGAATATTGGCCCCCAATCTCTTCTGGCTTGTAGGGTTTCTGCTGAGAGATCTGCTGTGAGTCTAATGGGCTTCCCTTTGTGGGTAACCCGACCTTTCTCTCTGGCTGCCCGTAGCATTTTCTCTTTCATTTCAACCCTGGTGAATCTGACGATTATGTGCCTTGGAGTTGCTCTTCTTGAGGAATATCTTTGTGGTGTTCTCTGTATTTCCTGGATTTGAATATTGGTCTGCCTTGCTAGGTTGGGGAAGTTTTCCTGGATAATATCCTGAAGAGTATTTTCCAGCTTGGATTCATTCTCTTCATCACATTCAGGTACCCCTATCAAACATAGATTAGATCTTTTCACATAGTCCCACATTTCTTGAAGATTTTGTTCATTCCTTTTTTTGCTTTTTTCTCTGTTCTTGCCTTCTCTTTTTATTTCATTGAGTTGATCTTCGACCTCTGATATCCTTTCTTCTGCTTGGTCAATGCGACTGCTGAAATTTGTGCATGCTTCACGAAGTTCTCATGTTGTGTTTTTCAGCTCCATCAATTCACTTATATTCCTCTCTGTGCTATCCATTCTCGTTAGCATTTCGTCCAATCTTTTTTCAAGGTTCCTAGTTTCTTTGCGTTGGGTTAGAACATGTTCTTTTAGCTCACTGTAGTTTCTTAGTATCCACCTTCTGAAGTCTGATTCTGTCATTTCATCACCCTCCTTCTCCATCCGGTCTGGTTCCCTTGCTAGTGAGGAGTTGTGATCCCTTTTAGGAGGAGAGGTGTTCTGGTTTCGGGAGTTTTCATCCTTTTTGCGCTGGTTTCTTCCCATTTTTGTGGGTTTATCCACCTGTTGTCTTTGTAGTTACTGTCTTTCAGATTGGGTCTCTGAGTGAGCTTCTAGTTCGCGGATGCTTAAGTTACTTCTTTTTTTTTTTTTTTTTTTTAAGCTTGCCTTCTAACAGTCTGGCCCCTCTGCTGTAGGACTGCTGAGGTCCTCTCCAGGCCCTGCTTGCCTGGGGATCACCTGCAGCAGCTGCAGAACAGTAAGGGTTGCTGCCAGTTTCCTCTTCTGCTATCTTTCTCCCAGAAGGATGCTCGCCTACTGTCAGTCCGTTCTCTCCTTTATGAGGCGAGTCTTTGGATCTATGGGGGTCAGGGAGCTACTTGTGGAGACAGTCTATCTTTTATTGGGGCTTAAGTCCTGAGCTGTGAGCCCTGTTGTTCATTCAGAGCTGCTGGGCAGGTACATTTAGGTCTGCTGCAGCTGAACTCATAAAGCACTTTTTGTTCCCAGGTGCTCTGTCCCAGGGAGTTAGGGCTTTATGAGTTTCCATTGCACTACTGCCTTTTTTGATTTTTCTTTCAGGTCTGACCCGCCCAGATAGCAGCACACCTAGCCACTGCCTGCCTGCAGAGGCTTTGCTGAGCTGCTGTGGGCTCCACCCAGCTGCCCTGTGCTCTTCCCTGCAGTCCTGTTTATATGGGTGTAGTCAGAACTGTCTTGGCAACAGTGGCCCCGCCTCTGTTATGGTGGACTCTCTCTGTTGTGGCAGGTTGCCTCGGCAACGGCGGGTTGCCTCGGCGATGGCGGCCTGCCTCCGTAGTGGTGGAGAGTCTCAGTAATGTCGGACGCCCCTCCCCTACTGAGCGGGACTGTCCAGGATTCAGCTGTGCTTGGTTTGAAGGGCTCAACCCAGAAGGTTTCCAATTACTGTTTTTATTTTCATTGTTGTTGGGGGTGGGGGGCTGGGACCAACCGAGCCTGATCACCTGGCTCCCTGACTCAGAGTCTTTTCTTTTAAGTTGAACGACCCCGCGTTCCAGTCGCTTGTTGAAAAGGCACTGGGATCTCCCATGCTGTGACTCACTGAGTCGGCTCAAACAGCGGACCCGGCTCCTGGCGGATTTTTTGCCTAGGAATCTCCTGGCCTGGCTCTCTATTTCAGATGAATGGGCAACTCTGCCGTCTCAGGGCTCCGATCGCCAGCTAAGAGGGCTCCCAGACCAGTGGCTTTTGTCCGGAGAACTGCGGCAACAGGGTGTGGTCACAGCAGCCGCGTGGGCTGAATCAGCCCCGCGGGGGGCCAAAACAGCCACACCAGCCAGGACTGTGGCGCTGGCGACCCCTCTGCCTGGGTATCTCCTGGTCTGTGGGCAATAAAAATTCATCTGGAAATGCGGCGTACACTCACCCTCTGCGCTTTTCACTGGGAGCTGAAGTCCTGAGCTGTTCTTAGGCGGCCATCTTCCCAGCATTCTCCAGAACTGTCTTTTTAAAATTTCTCAGGAGACTTAGTTAAGAAATTAATTAAATGGTCTTTATCTTTTGAAAGGAGCACAAAATAAAAAGCACAGAAGTAAGGAACAATTTTTTTATCTCCTCATTTCTAATATAGTGTCAATGCCTTTGATATACGAATTTAATTTTTTAGAAGATAATTAATATAAAGTCTAGTATTTATAATTTTATTTGAAAAAGTCATCTAATTTCATAGTAAACATTTGTAGCGAGTGACATTTCTTGACCTATCTCCCCCTTGCATAGCAAAAAGGTGTTGTGTGATTCTTCTGTAAAAATATAAGGTCTAGTTAAAGAGCAGATCAGGTAATCGTAAAACTACTGGCAAAATATAATTGCCGATCATCCTTTTTTTGCAGTAAATTGGATGGCTATTGTATAAAGACAGTTTATCCATCGTAAAGCCAAGGTATCCTCCTTGACTTCACAAAAATCACTGCCCAACCTCCCCAACCCTGTCATTACTTTCTGATATTGATTTAAAGATAAAAATATTATTGATTTAAAGATAAAAATAATCATGCGTGTTGTGATACATTCTAGTCACATTTTTTTTACTCTCTCTTAGAGTTGCATTTGGAAACTGCAATGGGTTGGCTGTCGTGGATTTTATACAGAAGACAGTACTATTAAGCATGGGGACTATTGACCTATATAGATCAAGTGACCTATACCAGCGACAACCACGGTCTCCTCGAAAAAACAAACAGTTCATTGCAGGTAGGAGATAAAACAAGATGAGTTATGAACTTGATTTGTTCATCTGTGTTCTTACTTTTAGATTTCTTGTCTTTCTTCTGTGATGCTATTGAAATGCATGGCAAAATAAAAGCAACATAATTTACAAAACCATGTAAGTAAAATAAATTGGGCAGAAACATTGTGAGAATCTTTGAAAGTGTTAGGGAAGTGTATATTTAAACTTCAATTTGCTATTGAAGTTAGGAAGCATCTCAAGTTTCTTAGGTTTAATTCCTAAGAAATAACAGAAAATAAAAAGCCATTAAATGTAAAAATGCTACAAAAATTAAGGCTCTATAATTGAAAAAACTGCTTGCAGTTGTTGTGTTAAACAGGTTAACTTTCTTCTGAACTATCTAGTCCCTTTAAAAAGATAATTTTAGGTCATTCACTACTTTTAATTTTTAAAATTGATTCCATATTGTGGCTGACACCTTTACTTGTTGGATAATGACCTTCCTTGAGGTATTTTCACAATTCAGTAAACATTTTTTATCAACATTTTTAAAGTACTATGAAAGATGGCATTGTTCTTGGCAGGATCAATGAATTGATGTATTTACAAAAGAAAATGAACTTAAGGTTAATTAGGATTTAATGACAAACTTTGATATGGCAATTATCTAAAGCTGAAATTTTAGTATATATCCAAATAGTTGGTTTTGTAAACACTGCCAAAGTTTTGTATATTTTCTGCCCATTAACAGTCCAGTTGGTGGAAAAAAAAAAATGAGGCCAAAAAGTTGCAGATGAAAAATGCTTCTATAATATGTATTATTTTAGATAATCCTTTAAAGTCTTCTACTTTGGTCCAGATATGGTGACTCATGCCTTTAATCCCAGTACTTTGGGAGGCCAAGGTGAGAGGATTTCCTGAGGCCAGGAATTCAAGACCAGGCTGAATAACATAGTGTGACCTCATCTCTAAAAATAATAAAAATAACTTTAAAAAATTTTTAAATAAGTAAATAAAATAAAATTTCTACTTTGTATTATTCAAAATAATCTATTGAATATTGATAACATTACTAAATATAACCATAGGAAAATATTTTATAATAAAAATAAAATGGGTACATGATGGTAGGTGTTATTTTCCAAATAGCAGATATGTCAAATTTAACATCCAAATATGATAATAAATGAATTTCCTTTTTGGACTAATGAAACTTGTTATACTGAAACTCTCCTTGTTAACCTTTCTTTTGCAAACTTCAATCATTTCCAAATTATTAATTTAGATCTTTTTGAGGGGCACAAAATTTCTCTTTCAGAATCTAAGAGTTTTTAGTGAGGGATCTCAACTTTTAGCAATATTTTAGGAGTGCTAGAAATTTCAAATTCTAGAGATTTTGCCTCTATCACTATCAAATTTTATAAGGAAGACAAAATAAAAGCAATTGTACATTCGCATAACATAAAGTTCCCTCATGATTGGGAAAGACAAGTTTGAAGTTGATGGGCTCTAGGCTAGAAAGGTTTTAGGAAGCAGTAGCTTATTTATAATTTAAAAATTAGTGCCTCAGTCATAATAACCATATTTCAGGTGTTCAGTTTGCAATGCTAAAAGCACCGATATAATCAGAAAATCTGTGAATACCATGACAATATCTAAATTACTTGCTGGATATACACAGCAGCGCAAAAAAAGTATACATTTTGACAAATTTAATACAATTGTTGTCTAATTTAATTTAAACCTCTTGAACCTTAACAGTTACTACCAGAGCTTAGAATATTGATGACTTTAAAATTATGAAAAGCTGTGATGAAGTTGTTAACTCGGTTTTTGTTAATGTACAAGATGACACAATAAGAGCTCACTTTATAACAATGAAGTAGTAAAGACTGAAATCTTTAGCTTTCTTTTTAATTGTTGAAGGATTAAAGACATTCATTTTTATATTAATGAAATAATTTATACATATTATTTATAAGCCAAATAAGTATATTTTGTAAAAACATATAAGGAAAATTTGCCACATACTTTTATAAGACATTTAAATAAGATATAAGATCTTTAAATAAATATTAAAATTACTCCAGCATTCTCATCATTCATCTTTCACCTCTTTTTAATTGATTTACTTTATCAATATCTCCTCTCTAATTTGATTACCTAATCTTGCTGCAACTTCTTCATCTTGGCTGTTCTAGATTCTGGTATGATATCACTTCCTTTCACTTTAGATTTTTTTTCTCTTTCTTCTGCCTGCTGCTGATGCTGGTGTTCTGGCATGTTCCAAAGACAACTTTTGCATGCGTGGCCTGTCTAACTTTTATCCTGATTTAACGAAACGGATCCGTACTTCCTATCAGAGTAAGTTATGTAAAGGTTAGGCAAATAGCATTTTTAAATCATAATTCCTGAGTTAAATCCATACATCAGTGCTCAGTAATGTGTTTCTTAAAACACATTTAACATGCATGCAAATTTTTGTTTTGTTATGATGTGCAACCTGATAATTTTAATAAAAATTATTATAGAACTATTTCAATCCATTATTGTCCTGTACCCATTCAGTCATACCCATTGTTTCAGTGTTTATTTCAAACCATACGGACCATGTCCCACTAGTCCAAGAGTCACTGTTTTATTTTGAGGAGGAAGAGCTATGATGTCCTTGTAAATCATAAAACTTATTACTGATACTGGTATCAGTAATAAGTCAATGCTTTCTTATTTTGGAAACCTTATGCTTTGGCCATTTTATAATACTATTCTAACCAGGGTCACAATATGTGCTTCTTTTAAATAATTATATTCCTTGAAGATAACTAAGTATTCCTAATTTCTGATGGTTTTTATTAAAATATACAAACACGTGTTTATATGGTGATTTAAGGCACCCAAACATTATAAAGTAGGATAATTAAGGTCAAAAGTAAACAAGTAAGATCAACATTTACCATGGTAGCAAACACAGAGCTGAAGATGTTTATAATAAGTAATTATAAAAACTGGTATAGAAAGGATAAAGAGTGAGAGTGTGTGTGACTAGAAGTAGAGATGACACTAATGATGTTATGGGTAGATATTTATTGATGTGAAAAAAGTGTTTATCAAATGTTAATATAGTCTGTTAAAAAGCAGGCTGTTTAGCAATATATACAAAATGGCTTTATAATTATATAAAATATACATTATATACACACATTCACACATGTATGTTGTTTGTAACCTGAAGTTCTTCAGACCTCACCAGTTCACATATACAAATGGAATCTTATCAGTAATAAAACCTAAAACTTTGTGGTTTATGCACCTAGCTTACATAAATCAGTCTCTGTGAAATCCTTAAAATGTTCCTGGGAGTGCTCAGAAGTTGAGTAATTTTTGTTCCTAAATATTCTCCAATTTTCTGCTCTAGCAGAGCACCCCCTTTTGGGAATCCATCTCACTGTCTCTCTACCTGTTGCCTTGTATGAGAACATTGGCATCTATGTTGGCTTCTGCTGCTCCTAAAACAGAAACTTACTTGATACTTTGATATTTCTTGATATCTGAAAATTTTATGAAATTTCAGTTTCTGTAATAAAGTTTTATTGGAACATAATCACAATCATTCATTTACATATTGTCCATAAATGCTTTCACACTACAATGGCAGAGTTGAGTAGCTGCAACAGAGACTATATGGCCTATAAGGCCTAAAATGTTTACTATCCTGTTCTTTACATTAAAAGTTTGCTGATTCCTGCTCTATGCCATTCTTTTACACCCACCCATCCTCTGCACCACATAAAGGATTTCAGCCAAAACTTTTCTGTAAATAGTCTGAGAGTGGTTTAACACACATATTCAGACTTATGAATTCCAGTTTAGCCTTCTGAAGGTAAGGTATCCTACCGTGTGTGTGTGTGTGTGTAGAGATTAAAAAGTTTCTGGAACATGAACTCGTGGATTTTATAGACTTCTTTTAGCTTTACAGTATATTTGGATTTTTCTATAATAAACTTGTAATTCTTTTATGTTAAGAAACTAAATTGGAAACTGAGGATCAGGAGCAGAAACAGGCTTTTAGTTCATCAGGATTCTATAGTGCCAGCCATGATTTAAAGTTTTTAAAAGTTCTGAGAAATCTCAATAATATATTTTCTTATATTCTTTATATTTCCGTAAAAAATCCCTTCATTCAGGATATACTAAAGTATAATTTCTATCAACATCTTCAAATGGATTTTCTGCTATTCTCCTCTTAAGCCAAATTTTTGTATCTTACTACTATTATTTCTTACTCATATCATTCCCTCTCTGGAAATGCCCTGCTAAAAGTTTACTTTCTATATAAGCCTTTCCTACCGCCATCAGAGCGCTGTTGTACCAATTCCTTTATTTAAATGCTTCCAGTGTCCAGGCTTATACACAGTACAGGCTTGCCTGAACCATTTAGCCTAATTCATTTAGCCTAAATTCATCAGTATGGACTCTTAACTTTTATACTTATACTCTACCTTTCCAAATGCATGACAAGACTCTCAAGACCATATCTAAAATTCTTCATGTTCTCTGCGTCTAGCACAAGTCATAAGATCAGTAAGCAAATGATAATGTCAGTAGGATAGAGCATGGCAGCAGGCTTTTTTCTCTCACATGAACAGCCAGGGAAACTTTTCAAATCTGACAAGTGAGAAAAGAACTGGGTACTAGGTTTACCAGGATTTTCCAAAAGAAATCACAGTTTCTAAGTAGAGACCTAACATTTTAAGTCAGAAGTAAAATCAAGTCTGTAGAAGGACTTAAAGAAATCCTCCATGTCTCTACCAATAGGCTCTATAGGGGATCAGACAAGCCCAAGGATTTAAAATCAGATTTCCTAAAAGTCTTCTCTGAATGACCAATATTGCCGGCTTTTTTTTTTTTTTTTTTTTTTTTTTTTTTTTTTTTTTTGTATTTTTAGTAGAGACAGGGTTTTACCATGTTGCCAAGGCTGGTCTTGAACTCCTAACCCCAAGTGATCCCCCGACCTTGGCCTCCCAAAGTACTGGAATTACAAGCATGAGCCACTGTACCTGGCCAGGAGTGATTCTTTAATCACTCAAATGTTTATCCTACCATTGCTTTTCAAAATACATTTTATGAAAATTTGGCTTGAAGTTTAACTATTGGATAATATAATCTGATATATTTCTATAATCTCACTTTGTTATAATAGAGACCAGCCTTTTCATTAATTGTTTCCTAACTTTCAGAAAAGCATATATGCATTGTTCATATTTGGGATAGAACCCAGTTCCATTGGTTACCTATTCTACTCTGCTAGTCAGTTTGACTCACTGTTATATTATCTAATAGTGATTATAACCTTTGAGGCAGATTGATATATATTAGTATATTTCTCTACACGTGAGAAAATTGAGGTTGAAAAAAATGAAATTAGTCTCTCAAAGTCACACAGAATAAGTGGGACCAAAACTTATGCCTATCTGATACTAAAGTTATTCCATAGTGTTTTCACTGTATAATCTTGGATCTCTAAGTGTCTTTTTTAAAAGTTTCAGGTACATTGGAAACCAAGTCCATTATTCTATAATCAAGAGACACCTCAGTTTTTGCACACTATCAATGAAATTATATCAGTGACTCGTTTACTGGTCACCTTATGAGATAGTTTGGGCTCCAAGGAGCTGACCTCCCCAAATCTTTAAATTACCAACCTGGAAAACTTTTACATCATAGAATGATAAAATTATTTAGTTGAAAGAAACTTTCACATTTTATAGATTATGATTTTTAGAAGCAGAAAAATGCTTTGAAAAGAACAGTAGACATCTGATCAGAAGATTTACATTGTTTTACCTTTTCCATTTATTAACTACTTAATACATTTATAATCTTAAACAAGGCATTTAATCACTCTAAGTTTCTTTCTTAAAATTGCAATTTCTACCTCCCTTAGAGAGTTGTAGAACTTTTCTGGGTTAATGTTAACAAAAGTGATTCTATAAATGTTAGTTATTATAATTATTACAAAAGATGAACCAACCCACACCACAGAGAGGTTAAATAACTCCCAGAATCATAAGCAATCTACTAAAACTCAGGCTGCTGCCTCATTGCCTAGTAACAGTTCTACTTGTGATCAACACAGAAATTTTGCTAGTTAAAAACTGATATCATGCCATATGAATCATGGGAAGTTTGAAAAGTAGGCTTAATATAGAGCATTGTCAGAAAGACTTGTTTGTACATCAGTTTCGAGTTATGCAACAAAGGATCCTTTGGAGAGTCTCAGGCCTATGTTCCCTTTCTTTTCAGAGGATAGGGGATGATAACAGATCCTAAAAATACCTGAAAAATAAAGAAGAAATAAAAGAAAAGGGGATGATAAGAGAACTAGCCAAGAAAGGCAAATAAGTATTTTGAAATGAACAGAAAGTTAAGATGGAGAAGTAAACCAAAAATTAATAATAAATAAGGGATGCTTCTAGAAACAACAATCAGTAAAAATTATGGTAAACAATAAATGGGAAAAATCCATTCATTCAAAGAATATTTTATTGAGCATCTCTTGTGTCAAACATTTCTCTAGGCATTAAGTGCATTTGCCTAGTGAAACACCATGAGTGAAACAATTATGGTCTTTTCATTTCATTTACAACAGATAATATACAGATAAGTAAATTTATAGATAATTGAAAAAGTGGCACTGCTATGATAGGGGAAAATGAGATAAGGTGGACCTATTTTTAAAGTGTTGTCAGAGAAAAGGACTATCCAACACAGAAACATTTAAGTGAAGTTTTGCAAGATAAGAAAGCAATAGTCAAAGCTTTGAATTCTCACTACCAACCAAGATAAAAGGATAGAGTAAAAGGTACCAGATTTAACCTCCTGCCTGAAAACCACACACGCACACCTCAAAATAGACAAAATAAATGAAAATGATGGTTTTTAAGACATAGGACATCAAACAATGAAAAAAAAGTGATGAGACAGATGGGAAACCTAACAACCATACCTATTTACTATCCTAAGAGAATTTCTAGACTGTAGCAAAATGAGGGGAAGGCCAGGAGGAAAACACTCAGCTTTTTGAGCTGGGAGATGAAGATGAGGAACCAGAGAAACCAAAGCATCTACAGCTTACAAAAGAATTTCAGAGATCTACAGTGTTTCCTCCTACAGCAAAATGCTGATCAACGTATACATATGATGCAGCCACCCAGGAACAGGTAAAGAGCCATCTGAAAGGATTAAAGGAAACAATGCCCAACACTCAAATAAAGGAAATAGTGCCATTCCCTCTTACCCAACTAGAAAAAGTTTATACCTCACATCCACTTCTGTTTAACATTGTATTGGAAATTCTAGACAGT